GAGGACCACGTCCTGGCAATTGCCGAACGCAATGCATGGCGGAAGATTCACGAGCAGATGCATGAGGGCAGCACCCTCAAGGCGGCCATGCTGTCGGTAAGGCAGGACACATTGTTTTGGACACGTGAGGTCTATGAGAAGATCAGGACCTTCTCCAGGGGCCGCCCACAGACCAGGACATCCATGGACTACGCACCACCCCAGAAGGGCAAGAACAAGTCCAGGGGCAAGGGGAAGTCCAGGGGCAAGCCTGGGAGCAAAGGGAAAGGTAAGCCCCCCCAGCCGAACAATCAGGCCTCCAGGGGCAGTAACAAGCAGGCGGCCACCGATCCGAAAGGGAACCAGTTCTGTAACAACTGGATGCTGCCCGGGACGCACGCACAAGTGCAACCTCATCCTGGCGACGGGCCGCATCTGCCTGGGAGACCACCTCCCGCAGGACTGCCCGGGTTGACTAGGGGCTCGGACCCCGACCCCCCGGGAGGCCTCAGGTGCCGAGGGCCCTGATAGGGCCCGGGGGGGCGAGAGGGGGCGAAAACGCCCCAAGCAGGCACATGAGCCCCCTCCTGCAGGTGCCGAGGGCCCTGACACAGGGGGGGGACAGGCCAGGCGGCGGCCCTCCTCGGCGGAACAAGGATGGGGACGACAGAACCAGCGTGCACAACACCCCAGCTGGGGTCAGAACAACCACACAGCTGACACAACGGCAACGCCGCGGCCCCGTGCCACAGGTGCCGAGGGCCCTGAGATGGCAGGGGCGGGACGGTTCCCCGCAGGTGCCAAGGGCCCTGACACGGGGGGCCGCGCCCAGCAGGCCCGAGTGCCGGACAACTGGCAGCACACCGCAACGCCGAGGAACACGCCCAGGAGGCAGCCGGTCCCACTTCCGGCGCCCAACATCATCAAGCAGGACCCGGTGGTTTTTCATAAGAGTTCTGTTGGGCTGAATGAAGGGGGCCAACGCTTTTCAGCTACCCCCCTGACAAGTCCCACGGAGCTGTCACCGGGAGGGGACACCTTCCCGTGGATGGAGAACATCCCGGAGCGCCTGGCACAGCGGCTGAGATGGACACAGGGCACATCGCCCAAAGTTCCATCCAGTGGGCCCATCATTGTCCTGCTCTATGCAGGCAAGGAAGACCCAACTTCCTTAGACAGCTGTCTTCATGCCAACTACCCGCACCTCTCCAGCATGGTGGTGGCGGTAGACATCCTACGACCGGGACCAAAAGGGAACCACGACATGCTCCAACCCGAGCTGTATGGAGCTCTCTGCACGGCAGCAAAGCAGGGCCGAGTGGTCTTCATTGGGGGAGGACCCAACTGCAGGACATGGTCCATCCTGCGCCACATACCAAAACCGGGGGCCCCCACCCCGGTGCGAGGACGCACTCGAGAGACACTTTGGGGCCTCCCACACCTGGACCAGGCCGCCCAGACTCAGCTTGATGAGGACAGTACCCTCATTTTGAGGCAGATGTACATCACCAGCCTGGCAAGGGCCTCAAGATCGGCGGTCTCTCTGCCAGGGCCAAAATCCTTCTTGGAGCACCCGGAGGACCCAGTGGTGAGCAGCTCGCTGCCCAAAGCCAAGGAATGCTCATCCTTCTGGATCACGGAGGAGGGGCAGCTTTGGATGGAGGAAAACTCCCTGACAGCAATCTCCTTCGACCAGTGCCGCCTGGGCCAGCTGGTCAAGAAGGCCACCACACTTGCCACGGATCTCCCAATCCAGGACTGGGATCAAATGCGGTGCACACATCAGTCACATGTGGGCACCAGCGAGTCCTCGACTCTCAGCAGATACCCCTGGGATATGATGGCAGGCCTGGCCAAAGCCATCGCTGTGTCACTCGCAGCGCCGGGGCACATCCGGATCCCCTCACAATCCCGGGAAACCCTAAGGAACCACCTAAGGGAAGGGGGTCGGACCCCCCTGGGGGCCCTTCTCCCCGGGGGAAACGGGGACCCAATCAGGGAGGCGGTCCCTCCTCGTCACACCAGGGCCCAGAGCCCGGAGGCAAGAATGCCCCGAAGCCCCGCCAGCACGGGCACATCCACCATGAGGCTGACACCGTAAGCCCTCGTGGAACTATGAGTCCAGACTTCCCATCTCCCATGCCCCCGATGGCCGGAGATGCGGAACAACTGGAAAAGGAAGAACATGGGGACCAGGTCCTGGACCGCCCCGAATTCCTGCCCGCTTTCCGGGTCCCACGCCTCACTGACCGAGTTGCAATTGTCCAATTGGGTTTCCGTTCACGCCCCCTGAGAGATGGGGGGGGGAAACCTTCCCCGGGGAGGCTCAACCCCCCTTTTCGGAGAGTTTCCCCTTTGGCTACATTGGGCGCCCTGATCATGACCCTTACCAGGCCCTGGATTGATAAGGTCCGGATGTCCCTGGCATCAGGTGCCACCACACACCCCTTCCAGGAAACCGACCTCGAGGAGCTGCGGGCTATCCTAGGACCGAGGCACCTCCATGAACGATGCCCAGGACAACCCTTCCTCCTGGACTTAGTGTCGCACTTGGCATCCCTTTCAGGTGACCCTGATTGGGAGTTCCCCCTAACACTGAAAGAGGGGGTCCCCTTGGGAGTCTCGGACCCTACCTTGACCTCCCCGGGAGTTTGGCCCACTAAGGAGGAGCTTAAGGGAGAAGCCTGGCTGGGGGAAGATCCCCCCCCGCCAGTGGCTCATGATAACTACCCAACGGCTGAACTCTTTGCCAAGGAAATCGAATCAACCTTTTACGAGGAACGAGCCTTGGACATGGTGGACGGGCCCTTCACTCGCTCCGAGGCGGCAGAGAGTTGCCGCTGCAAACCGGAGGAACTTTGCCCGGGCCCCCTTGCAGGGATTGATGAGTCGGACAAGATCAGGACGATCTATGATGGCTCAAAAGGGGGAGCAAACGCACACATCCAGGCTCACACGGAGGAGAAGACCACCGCACCGATGGTTGGAGACTGCCTCCATGCCATCCACTGGCTCAGGACAGCGGCGGACCATCCTCATCTACTCCGAGCCCCATCCTCGGGCACTGATGAGGAACCTCGGGATGTTCACCAGCCGGTGCAGGGGCAGTCCCCAGGTGCCGAGGGCCCTGAGAGGGACCCCCACAGCACCAGCCTGCCCCCAGGTGCCGAGGGCCCTGATAGGGGCAGGCGGATGATGGAGACCTCCGGCGGCCTGGACGTCTCTCCGCGGTCAACACCCTCAGGGAAGGGGCCACTCCCAGGTGCCGAGGGCCCTGATAGGAGGGCCCCATTCCCCCCAACCCCCCCAGGCACGGAACGCCCTGGGGGGAGCAGGGGGGAACCCCTGACGTGGCAGCCGCCGACACAGGGGGAAACCTTCATCATCCTCAAGGCGGATGTCACCAAGGCCCACAGGCGCATAAAAGTGCTCCAGAAAGACTGGAAATACCAGGTGGCCTGCATCCAGAACCGGTGGTGGGTCAATAGAGTGGGCACGTACGGCATGGCCTCGGCACAACTGTACTGGGGAAGAAAGGCATCCTTGGTGCTCAGACTCTTGTACTACATCTTCCCTCAGGTGGACTGGCACTTAGTTTTTGTGGACGACTACTGCTGGGTCCTCAGATGCAGCAGGGCGGACTGGGACGCCACAGCCATCCTGGCCACTCTTCTGGCGCTGGGAGTCCCGCTTTCTTGGAAGAAGACGGCGCTCTCCCCGGTCAATACCTGGTTGGGATTCGTGGTGGACCCCATCACGCCCTGTGTGCTGCTGGCTCCAGTCAAGCACGTCATAATCCTGGCCACTCTCAAACGGCTGGCCCAGGGGGACATCTTTACCAGCAAGGAGGTGGAACAAGCCCTGGGCCGGATTCAATGGGCTACTTCGGCGTGTCCATTGACGAAACCTTTCCTCCAGCCCTTTTGGAGCTGGAAGAAGGCCTGCACCACTTCGGGCAGGCCACCGAAGCTGGTTCGTGCTCTGGCCATCCTTCTGGGGAAGCTCTTCAACCAGAGGTTCCCACTGGCATCTCCATTTGCTCCCACACTTCCATGGACGGGGGCATCTGATGCGGGAGCTGGCAAACAGGCGGACCATGCATGGGTTGGTGGTTGGTGCTCGGACGTGCCCAACCCCGACAAGTCCCGAGTGAAGTGGTTCCAACACAGAATCACACCGGAGGGCGAGCCGTGGGCCTTCACTACTGGGGACCCGCAGCGGGCGATAGCGGCCTTGGAGCTCTTCGGCCTCCTCCTTTTGGTGAGGGCTGTTCTGCTTTGTGCAGCCGGCTCGGCTTCTCACACTAGGATTCTGGTTGCTAGTGATAACCAGGGAAACGTTTTCTCCCTGCTTAACGATTCCACTCGCAGGATGCCCAATGCGGCCATCCTCATGGAAATTGTGTTAACACTGCATGACCACCAGGTCATGTTAGGACCGTCGCATGTGAAGCGCGACTTTAACACATGGGCGGATGAACTTACTCATCCGGACCCGCATTTTCCGACTGAGAACCGGGTCTTCCCCTCAGTCGAAAGCGAATTGATCAAGCTGATCTTCGCTACTTTCCTTCCTCACCCATGATGCCGGGAGGGCATCCGGTGAGGTGGGAGGATTCCTCCCTCGCTGTGGGAGTGGCATCAATCCTACTCCCATCAGCTGCTGAGGGGAGCTGCCCAGTGGAACTGGGCAATCCTCCCATTTTGGCACTAACCCTTATGCGGCAATAAAGGAGGCACCGTTTTGCGAATAAGGCCTCAGTAGCACCTGAGTGGTGCTTCAAAGAGTCTTTTTTTTCTTTTCTTTTTCGGCGGCGCATCTTCCGGCGTTTTCGGCGGTTCCCCAACTGGGCGGCGTTTCTCGTCTCTTCTTCTCCTTGGCTCATCTCTTCGGTGCTTCTTCGGAGGTGTTCTTCCCCTTTTTCGGCGGTCCGGTCCACATGGGCGCGTTTCGCCTCGTCTCGTCTCTCTCGTCACGTCGTCTCTCGTTTTTGCTTCGGTCCTCGGTGCGTTGCTCGTGAGGCCCGGGGAGGGGGACCTGAAGGGCATGGGCTTCTTCGTGGGTTCCATCGCCTTCCCGCTGCTCATCTTCTCCACCGTGGCCACGGCCGCGGGGCGCCCCAGGCGTTGACCCAGGAGTGTTTTTCAGCCCGCCGCCATGAAAAAGGGCGGGGGGGTTCCCTCCAAGAATCTCACTAAAAGCGGGGATATTTTTTAAGAACCTATCCAAAAGTGATGTACGAATCCAACTAGGGGAATTGGAATGGCCCCGATTTGGTTTCCTTTCTTCAAACGGTTCATCCGCGATTTGGTTTCCTTTCTTCGGGAATCCCCGAATAAATTATTCAACCATCCGCGATTTGGTTTCAATCAAACACTCACATCCTGAGCGGGCTGGCCGGAAAAGTAACCAAACTGTTTGTTTGCCACCAAATTTGTCTTCCTGGCAAGTTTTAAAGTTGCACGTCCGGCGTTTGGAAGATGACTCAAGTGGGTGTGGCTCAAAATTAAACAGGAGGGGTTACGCAGGTTTTGGTCCATGTTTCCACTTGCCAGGGATCCATTTTGGTACCGGTTTTTTGAGCCACAGCCAAGTGGCTCTGCACGCTTCAATGCAAAGAGGGTTGGCTTTGCAACCAAGAAACGTTTTGAAGCCAAGGGGGCTGTTGGGAGCTTCTATGGAAAGAGGACAACGTTTTGAACTTGGCGCTAACAACTCGAAGAACAGGTGCCAAACCGTTAGGTGTTTGTTTAACTTGTGAAACCTCTGAACCACCCCAAGGCATTCGCCCCAAGACACCCTCGATACATGAGCCACTCTAAGCATGAACAGAAAGCAGGCTTCCTCTAAATTGTGTGGGCTTTCGGGGTATCAGATAAATCTGCTGGAGTGGTTCACACATGTTCAACAAGCTTCGAGCCCTCCGACTTGCGGCACGAGCCGGGTCTATGTTGCAACCTCCCGGTTTTTGGGTTTGGTTTCTTCGGGTTCTTGGTTGCGGAAAAAATGGACTTGGGGACTGTCCATGGCACGGAAAAAGGGGGGAGGGGTGTTCTTTTCTTTTTTTTTTGGGGGGGGGGGGTGCGTGGTTCTTTTTTCGGCTTCTTGGCCGCAAAAAATGGACTCTAGGTGTCCATGGCACGGGTACGATGGGGGGAGTCTGGGGGGCGGGCCTCGTCCTCCGGCGCTGCGCTGCGGCGCGCCGAGGACATGGGCCAGATGGACTTCGGGGTGATCGGCGCCTGCAGCCTGGGCAAGGCGATCCGGATCCATCCGTGGGATCCATCCGGTGGCCGGGTGGAAATTTCTCAGTGGTTCAGTGGCACCAATTATTTTTCCTTCTTTTTTTTTCTTCCGACTTTGGATTTTTAGGTGGCTGCACCACGAAAGATGGTCTTTCCCAAGAAGGGTTCCCTTTTTTTCCAGGGTCACTGAAGAACTGAGAAATGGGTGGCTCAAAAGTGAAGGACCTAGGGTTGCGCAGGTGTTAGTCTTTGGTCCCAGTTGCCAAGGTGCCATTTTGGTACATTCATTTGAGCCACAGCCAAATGAGTCAGACTCAGACTTTCTTTGTGATGGCACCCGTTCTCTCTTCTTTTCTTTTCTTCTTTGTGTGTGTGGGTTTTTGAAGGGAAACCAGAAGGAAACCCCGCCATTTGGCGGGGAGTCCCCGAACAAAAAGACGGCCAAATGGGGTTAAATCATCGTGTGTTCATTCGCCGTTTTGGTGGCTTAAGCATCGTTCCTCTTTTCATTGTAACATCACTTGGGTCGATTTGAATTGAGGGGGTGAGGTTCAAAGGGGATCTTTTCGGGAGCACAGTTAGGGCTTGATTCTTTTGAGGGGCGTTTCCTCCTCCCCCCCTCCCCCCCCCCCCCTCCCGCTTTTTCTCGGGCTGTTTATGCGTTTTTCCCAGCTGAGAGCTTTGGGTTCGATTGGCCCTAAAAGGCTTAGGCCAGAGTTCCGGAAGGGCTTCAGCTCCTGGTTGCTGGGCATGTCTGAGCTTGTATGGTTGAGGCGTGTTTTTCTTTTGGAGGGGGTGGGGGGTGTTGCCTCCCTCCGTGCTTTGGGGGCTTGAAACCCTCGAAACCGCCAAGCCAAAGCACCAAGTGGAGGCTTTGGCCGTCTTTTTGTTTTCTTGGGGGCTGGGGCTTCGGAGGTTGTTTCCTTTGCTGCGACTTGTTTTGATTGGAGTTCGTACTTTTTGTGATTTTGCGCTTCTTTTTGTGTCCTCTTTCCTGTTCTCTGTTTGGCCAGGAAGGGGGACAAGTCTCGGCTGAGGAGCTGCACAAAAAGGGTCAAGTTTTTGACCTCCTGGCCAAAAAAGCAACCAGAGAACATCGCAGAAAAACGCCGACACAGCGCCAAATATGGGTGTGGGTGAAAATTAAACCAACAGGGGACCGCAGATTTTGGTCCATGCTTCACACTTACCAGGGCAACCCATTTCGGGCTTGCCTTTGAGGGGAATCAGGTGGTTTTGAAAAGGACGATGGTTGAATAGAATGGACTCGGAATCAACCCCTAGAAAAGCGAAACACATCGAAGCGCCTCAGCTGGTCCAAAACCGCCGCTGCTCGCATTCCCGCTTTTGCGCAGATCGCGGTGATGGTTTTGACCTGGGTCCTGGCCTTTGTAGCCTTCCAGCCCAAGCGCAGCAGGGGCCAGAGGACCCACGCGCCTGGAGGGCTACAGTCAGGGGGAGGGCGAGGGAGTGGGGGTCAGGGGGTGGGGTGGGGGTCAGGGGTGGGTGGGGTCCCAGTGCTTCCAGTCTCCTCCTTTTTTCCAGGGTTGCTGTTGGGAAACATGTTTTTTACAATTTTTTGCTGATTGTGGTTTAGTGGTTGAAATCCAAATCCACTTAGTTGCTAAAAAATTAAATGTGTGCTCCCCTTCCAACGTCAACCAAGATGGCTTTGCAAGAACTGTGTGGAGAAACGAGACCAGGGCCCCTTGTTTAAAGGAGACCTCCAACAGGTCGGGGAAGGGTTACCTTTGGAACAAACCCTCAAGGTTGACAAGGTCCGGGAGAAACCTCCGGCCTTTTGGAGTTGTGTTTTTTGCACTACAGGGTTGGTTGCCACAGTGGACACGTCCCTTGTATCGGGGAATCAAAAGGAAGACTTGTTCAAACAATTGACAAATGGGTGCCTATGCAGGTGCGGGCTGACTATCTTTATGGCGCTCATGTGTGTAAAAACAACGCACCCTCTGATGCAGGTGCTTTACTTGGAGACGTCTTGATTAAGGCTTGGAGTTCTTGTAAGTTTGCAGACACATTCTGGGATGGAGGTGATAGACCTCCAAGTTCTGAGCATGTTTGTAACATTTTGTAGATACGCGTGTTTCCCCCTAGCATTCGTTTCCACTTTGCTGCATGTTGCTTGGATGTTAGGACTTTAACTTTTCCCAACTAATGGGTTTTTCCATTAAACCACTAAAAGTTAGGTTTCCTTCTTTCCCAATAAAACCCAAACGCTGGACGGCCGGCTGCAAGGGGCCCGGCATTCATGCGCGATTTCGGGTAGCGCTTTCCCAAAGCTCGGACAGAACACCAAAGGGAAGAGAACCTCACTTCCTGAGTTGCTGGACTTTAGTCATTTTTGGGGGTTGGGCCATTTTAGTGTGGGGGCCTCAATAATTAAGGGTTCTCCCCTTAAACAAACTAGTGGTAAACAAACCGCTTTCTTTTGGGCCAAAGCACACGTTCGGAAGTGAGTTGCTTATTTCCCCTGTTGTGGTTTTGTTGTAGGGAATCTATCAGTGAACATATGCTCATTTTTTCTATGGGGCAACCTCACACATCAACACCAAAACAAAACAATATGGATCCGGACGTGACAATCAACACCCGGGTGGATGAAGGGACAGTCCCAGCCAGAAACAGGTACGGATATCCGCCCTGTTCCAGGAGTTTAACCCTATAACATGGTTGGTTTGCTGTTGACCCTCCTTTCCAACCACATGGGGGTCCACCATTTTGAGACGGACCTAAATTAACAAAATCCTTATGAAGGGATTGTATGACTGGACATATCTCCAAGTTTCCAGACAACACGCCAGCGATGAATTCAAATGGGACAATATCGTCTAAATGTTTCTCGCACGGTAAACACCAGAACAAATCCATTTCCCTCTTTGGAACCTCCAAAAGTGGCAATCGGCTCAAGGGAACACCGCCTAAGAATAATTATACATTTTCCTCTGGTATTTAAGGGACTCGATCACTCGAAATACTGTGGATGGACGCAATCCTGCACTACTTTGAAACCATGGGAAACCATTGTTTATTGGTATTTATAGGGGAATCATCATTCCTGGGTTTCTTAGGTGGTGCAGGATTTCGTCCATCCACAGTATGTCTATGTTTTCCAGGGGATATCCGCAATGGAAGTTGATGTGTGTGGCGCTACGGCCGTTGGTCTGATCCTGGCCGTCCGCTTCCCTTTTTGGAACCGAGGGCCATTTTTTTTAGGATTTTTTTTCGTTTTTTTAAAGGAATTATTTTTGTTTTTCAGGGTCGGTGGCTTTTCGGCTTTTTGGTTTTTGTGGCTTTTACGTGGGTTTTTGTGGCTTTTGTGGCTTTTCATTTCGCATCATCTGCATTCACAGTTCCTCTCTTTTCGCATCCTCTGCATTGCCAGTTCCGCTGCGGCAGGTGGCTTTTTGGCTTTTTGGCTTTTTGGCTTTTGGCGTTTTGGCTTTTTGGCTTTTTGGCTTTTTGGCTTTTTGGCTTTTTGGCTTTTTGGCTTTTGGCGGCTTTCTGGCTTTGGCTTGTCGCATCCTGTTGCTTTCCCAGTTGGTTTTTGGCCTTGGCTTCCTGCATCCTCAGCATCGCAAGTTCCTCTCCGGGCCCCCCGCCACCCCCCTTTCGATTAAAATGCACGCCTAATTGAATCATCACTTTTTCGATCATCATGCGACAGTGAAAGGAACGGCTAAAAGCCAGGTCAGACCACCTTCGTTCCTCTACCTTCATCACTTTCCTGTTTCTCTTCTCTCTTCGTCTTGACGGGAACTGACGAAGGAAGAGAAAGGAAAGACACGAAGAGCAGAGAGATGACAGGAAGGAATCTCGCCCCCAATCAACTCTCTATCTTCCATCCCACCTTTTCTCTTCACCTTGGTTACGAGGTTGGGGATGGATAGTGAGTTGATAGGCGAGAGCCGGGAGGTGGTTAGGGAAGCTCTTCTTTTCTCTCAGCTTCCAAGTCACTAACCTCCTCCCTCCATCTCTTAGTCTCTCTTCCTCATCTCTTGTCCTTTCCTTTGTCAAGCCTTTCTATTCTCTCGGACACCGTCCTCCGTCCACAGATTCCAGGCTTGACAGGAAATGGAAAGAGATATCCCGGCTTCTCGTCTTCTCCCACAGGTCGCTGCCAGCGGCGAGAGCGAAGGTGGAGAAAGGAAGAGAAGAGGTGAGGAACGAAGAGACGAAGGAAGGTCATATGGTGGCTACATCAGGTCCTTTCTGCCACCATTCATTCCCTTCTATCTATTCCTTCTCTCTTCATTCTCTTATCCCACTCTCTTGACCAAAGAGAAGAGTGGGAGAATGAAGAGAAGGGATAAAGGGAGGTAAAGGAAGGACTCTCTAAAAGCCAAGAATTAGAGGCTTTTCCTTCCTTCCTCCTCACCTGTTCCCGCTCTCTCTCTCCCTCATTCATTTTCATTCATTTGGTCGTTACAGCGGACACATGTGGAGGCAGGAAAAGACCAAGAGATGAATGGAAAGGAATGGGTGGATGGAGTTGATGTCATGGCATTCCTTCCCTTTATCTCAGATCCTATGTTGGGAAAGGAATTAGCCATGCCATGTCCATCCACATCTCTTTCCTCTGTCTCTTCTCTGTTGCTTCCCTTGTCATGCCTTTGGGGAAGCGAAGAGACAGGGAAAGGCCCGGCAGTTAGAGATCTTGATGGGCCGGGATTAGCCAAGCAATTAAAAGGCTTGGCAGGAGATGGTGAGGTGAAAGATAGAGATTCCTTAAGCACCTCCCATCTCCCTCATGCTCTTCCTACCACCGTGTCCATGAGATACAGATAGGACACGGCTAACGGTCAAGGACCGGGAAGTGAGTTGTAGGGAAGAGAAAGGGAAGCGGTGAGGTGTAAGGAATCCATTATCCCGCTTCCAAGCCTTTATCTTCCCCAGGTCCTGTCTGTCATTACATTCCTTCTCTAGGACCTGATATCCCTTTCTCTTCTCTATGTGTGAGTCCCCTCTATTTCCTATGAATTAATCTGTTGGAGGGACTCACAGAGAAGAGAGAAGGAAGACGAACGAAGAGAGTGATATCCCGGCTCCTGAAGATCTCTGTAAAAGCCGGGGAGAAAGGAATAGATAAAGGGTGAGATTATTTGATGAAGAGACGCTTCCTAGCGGCTTATCTCACCCTTTCCTCTCACTCTCTTCTCTTGGCTGTAGGAAGTCCTTCCAGCCGTTCATTTCATTCACTGTCAGGTCACCTACAGACGAGTGCGAGAGAAGAGAGCATGAGGAAGAGAAGGACCTGACCCCATCTCTCTCCGTCTCACCCGTCATTCATTCCGGTCTCCTCGTCGTCGATGGGAAAGAGAGGACAGGAAGTGTGTGGTGAGATGGGGAAGGAAGGTATGAAGTGGTCCATTATCTCGCTTCCTAGCGACTCGTCTTTCACTTTCTGGACCACTTTCCTCTTCCTTCCCATTGCCTCTCACCCCTCTCTCTTCTCTTGTCTCATCACTCACTCCATTCGTTAGCCAAGAGCCGAGAGCGGAGCGGGGTGGAGGCAATTGGGTAAGGAATGGCCGTCCCTTCATCTGTTCCATCCTGATCCACGAGACAGTGAGTGGGGACGGAGTCAAGGGATGGAGTGTGAAAGAAAGGACAGGAAGGGAAAGGCATGCTCTGGGACCTACAAATTGTCCAAAATAAAATCCAAAAATAAATAGAAAAATGATATGATGTAGGTCCCAGATCCCTTTCCTCTCGTCTTTCACTCTTCCCTGCACTCGGTTCCTCCTGCAGACGAGTCCAGACGAGGCAAAGGAAAGGAAGAGAGAAAGGGCCATCACTTCCCTTACCTCCCATCGCTTCCCTTGGAATCTCTGGAATGTAGAAGTGATGGAGTGAGAGACTAATTGCCCGGCAGGAAAGGATCTTATGGAGCCGGGCTGATCTTCCTTCGTTCGGTCTCTTCATTCCCTCTCTCTTTCACCCGCCAGTCAAGGAACTCACGAAGGCGGGTTATAGCGGCGGCAGAAAGGGATGTAATAAAAGCCGCCATTCCTTCCCTTAGCCTTTATCACTCACGACCAGATTGGGTGAGTGAAAGGCTTAGAGGGAAGCCATCCCTTATCCCTTTCCCTTCTCTTCATTCCATCTCATCCCTCATGCCTTCGTGAGATCTGGAAAGGAGAAGGCAAGGGATTAGGAATGGAGGAAGGGACGTGAGAGCGAGTAAAAGGGATCTATTGGCTCTCACATAATGTCCCTTCCCCATCTCTTTCCATATCTTTCCCATCTATAACTCTCGCAAACAAAGGAAAAGGAAAGAAGCGAGAGAATGGGAAAGAAGAAAGAGATGGCGAGAGCTTCCTTCCAGCCTCCTCCCGTCCGCTGTCACTTACCTCTCGGTGACGAGTGCAGGAGGATGAAGGATGCCATGACAGCAGAAAGAGACTCAAT